TTGCACAAGCTTTTTCTACTTCTCTGGGCATATGTCCTCAGTTTTAGGCACAGATAGGTGCTCATCTGTTGGCCAGGTCATATATAGCAGGGGTAATGAAGCCAGGTGTCTAAAAACCATCTCTTTCTCACTGGAGATTCTCTTCTAAGGCTCCAGTGCCTTAGACTGGGCCTGAATTATTTAGTGTTTCTTTTCTGATTGGCCTGCAGGATTCCTGATCTTAAATGAATGACCCAACTCTCATCCTTGTTGTTTCCGATCTTATTTCCTAACACTCAAAGAGGAAGATCAGAACTTGGGGAAAGTTAATAACTAGCCCCCATTCCATACTGTTCTTTCACGCCTCAGTGCCTTTGCATCTACTATTTCATCCTTACTCACCTCCTTCATCTGATAAACCCCTATTTTATGCCATCTCAAGACTTCTCTCCACTTTTCAGTCTTCCTTAATCATCTTTCCCCTCCATTCCAAGCAGATGGCTCACTCCCACCTTGCTGCATATACTGTAGTTTGCACATCCCTTGATTCCCGCTTCTATCACACTGTTACAATTGCTTTGGTTTCAGTGGTTTTCTCCTTATTCTAGTGAACCCATTAAGAAAATGGGCTCTGGAGTCAGAGAATTCATTCTAAGGGCAGGCCTTTCCATTTATTAGCTATGCCATCATGGGAAATTTACTTAACCTCTGTAAACTTTGTAAAATGAAGATGACAGTGCTCACACCAGAGAGTTGCTGACAGAATTGAGTGAAATAATGTGTGAAGTGCTTAGAACAGCACATGACATAAAATAGGTGCTCAACAAATACTATCACTTTTATACTACAAGTATTAAGCCTGGGATGTGTCAGACAGGGCTACTAGTTGTTTGTTAAAGAAATTAATGTGTATTTTAAGACTAAAAAATATTTGGAAAAGAATGTTTTATTTGTTTTGTTATTAGTGGCTTTGTAAAATATCTACAGTTGCTACACTATTCTGATAATAGATGTCTATCTGTAGGCATGTATGTGCAATATTGAATTGCAATTGTGAGAAATGCTATAGACAACTCTCAAGGATGGCATTAAAGAATGCAATAGAGATATATGTGTAACTGTTTATTTAATGTTTGTCTCCTCCACTAGAAAGTAAATGCCCTCGGGGAAGGGTTTGAGCTTGTCATATTTATTGTTATATGCCCAGGAATATTATACAATTTCTGAAATGCAAAAGGTATTTAATAAGTATTGGTTGAATGAATGAGCAGATGGGAAAATAGACCACATTTACTCAACTAGTAAGTACCTTTACTGTTCCTTCCACTTGGAATGTTCTCTTCCTCCATCATCACATCATCACATGTTAAAATTTTATTTAACCTTCAAAACTCAGCTGAGATGCCCTTCCATGAAGGTTGCTCCTTTTCTTAATTTTTATGGTAATTGATGGGTACTTAGGGAACTCAACACTTTGTATCTGGTGTTAGAGTGATTTTTGTGTCCCTCTGAAAATTCCTCATGGGCAGAATTCCATGTAGTTTCATCAGGGGTTGTGCTGATTAACTCACTTTAGTATCTTTCCAAATGCTTGGAAAGCTGCATGACATTCACATTAGATCTAACCCAAGCCTGAAGACTAGCAGCATAAGGAAAGTCAACTTTGTACATTGCAGCAAAAGACAGTGGGCCACCATTTCAGCAAGGGGTATTGCAGTCTACCTTCCAAAGTGACAGTGTCACAAAGAAGATGAAGTGAACCTTCAGGTCTTTGTCCTATGCCTAGGACCATGCCTGGAACATAGCAGTGGCTCAATAAAATGTTAGGGAAATGAATGAACTAGTAAGTTAATAGAAACACAGGCAAGTCATTGTGGAAAAAACTACTAATTATGGAACTGTTTTTACAAGGATATCACTCACTTGAAAAATAAGACAGCAAAGCCTTTGATTTGCCTGATAACCAAAGATACTGCTGTCTAGAAATTTGCTCTCAAACTCTGATGATGGAATCAATTTATGAAACTACATGAGAGAGCTTTTTAATGTTCATCCATTCAATAAATATTTAGGAGCTTACACCAGCCAGCACTTATGCTAAAGATATGGGAAATTCTGTGTTGCCGTTTTATACTCAGGGCTCTTGGGTCAAGCAGATGAACCTGCTTGAGAGTCCATATTTGATCTCTACCTCATCATTATAGGTCATGTTCTCTTATGTGAAATCAAACTGAAACTTTGAAGGACTTCATAGTTTGGCTTCCTTCTTTCTGCAGACTGTTTTGGGCAATACACTATCCAGGTATCAGCTTCTTTAAGTTTCCTCTCACCAAGGTGAATGTTAGGCTGTATGAGAAGGTTCTCTGGGGTAGAGCGTATTATGACTTAAGATTTTATGTCAAGTTTATTACTAGTCCACAGAACTGCACTCACTGAAAAATTATTTATGATCTATACCTTACTATATGTGTGAGAGATGATCCAGACCATCTAGGTGATTCTGGATTCTAATGATGTGTTAGGAATCCACACTCACAGGACATGCACAGATACCATTTACCTGCTTGTGAAGTTTTCATGACAGTTTCCCTAAGATCAGGTACATCAATGTGTGTGCATACTTCCTACACATTATTTCTTTCCAAGTACTTTATTTTAAAAGAGACCCAGGTTTATTTTAAAGGAAGCAACTGATTGAGTCAACATAGTTTGTCTGTAATATGCTAAACACAGCATGGTAGAGATACGTATATTTTAGGATTTATTTAGATATCCTAAATAATGAAGAGTATCATTAGGCAAGAATGCCATATATCCATGTATGCACATGTGTGTGTATAAATATCTGTGTGTATATGAAATACATATCTTTGGGTTTGAAAAGTACATAAAGTACGGAATAAATGGAGCCCTTTTTCTGAGATCTAAATTACATTTTCTGACAAAGAAATAACTTGAGGCTCAATTTAAACAGAATTATCCTCAACCAATAGTAATATTTTAATAATGGCTATGTTTTCTAAAAGCAGTCCTCATAAAATTATGATGATATAATGACACATTTAATGCAAAACTTGGAAAAAATTTGAGAGACTGGCAAATTCCCAATATCTTCTGAAAAATATTTGGAGCAGTCAAAATAAAGCAAATCTAAATAAAAGGAAAGGTCTACATGAATGTGTGCAGTAGGGGAACTGGGGACAGATGCTAGAGTAGAAGAGTAGCCCACGGAGTACAGGAATTAAACCCAAGCCTGTTTTTTCCCATAAAGGTCTATCCGCTACACTAACACATTACTACTCCCACCATCATCCCACTGCAATGCTTTAGTCAAGGTTTATTATTTTCTCCAGATGGATTTGAATAGAAATAATTTCATGAGATCAGTATAGACAAAGCTGGTGATGAAAACTGCCATGTGTTAACTGGAGATGCTGGAATTAGAGACTCTCAGGAGTTGATTTCATTCATTCTCACATGCTCACCAAGTACTCTCTGTTGTGCCAGGCACTGTGCTAGACCCTGGGAATAGTTATCCTATATTCAAGGAGTTCAAGACAGGACAATAAGAAAATAAATAAAGGTTAGTTCCTTTCTCCAACTTACTTTTCTTTTCTCCTTCACTCTAAGAAGTTACAATATAATTAGAGAGACACAGAAGAAAACACTTTATGGTAAAATATGTTAGTTGATAAATCAGAGGTGCATGCAAGGAACTGAGAAGGGAGAAAATAACTGCCTGGCCAGAGAAAGCTCCAGAAAGGAAAAGATACTTGAGCTTCACAAGGAAAATCATACTCTCCTTGATAAAACAAAGGAGAGGAGTTTTAAAAAGACAGGAGAAGCAAACTATACACATCAGATTCCGGTTCAAAGTAGAATCACTGTAACTTAGCCTGATTTAGGGAGCTGTCCACCATTAGTTTTTTAAACTTCTTGCAAAAATTATATGTCTCATGTCTTTAGCAATCAAGGTCTACTTACAGAGATCCAATTAGAAAATAGTATTTAATGAGAACTTTAAAAGTAGCACAGTCTTTGAAACATTTAGGTGATTCAGAAGTTATAGAGAAAAATATAACAGCATCTAACTTGTCACTTGAAAACAATTTGAATTTCAAAGAAGATTTATTCCAACTATTGAAAGAAGTATACATGTTTGAGTTTCTATGTTATAAATAAGTATACATGTTTGAGTTTCTATGTTATAAATAACGTTTTTCTTAAGGTATTCCAAATAACTTTTAACAGGGATTTATTTTTAAGAGTATTGTCTTATTGTTAATAGTTATCTCAATCCTTCAAAATAGATCTAATTAAAGAATCAAATATTTTAATACTCTTCTTCCAAGTCCCATTTATCTCATCTCAGCCTATGAAATGCAGCCAGCCTGGTTCCTCTGGTAGGATAATTATAAGCACAGGCATTATTTCTGTAATATGAAACACAACACTGACTCACTTATTAATTCACTTTCTATATCTATACACTTCTATCACTTTTATAATCTCTAAGCATTGCATTACTAGTTTACTACGGGAACAGTCACATTTTTCAAGAGAGCTTTTACAGTGGATTTTACTTGGATAAGCAAAGAATCAAAATATAAGAACTAACTTTTGGCTTCTTGATCTATGTATCAAACCCATTACAAAAGATATTCAAGCCAATCTAAGTAGTTTTGGGGGAACCAACCAGAAAATACAATCTGTAAGCTGTTTTGAATATTCATATGAGGAATATCAATCTTGTGCTCTTTCTTTAGTACATGTTACTATTAAAAATTACTATTTTCATTGAACCACTGTTTACTCTTTCTTACTGATCCATGTTTGGCCATTTTAAGAATTCAGATTTCATACAGAGAAAAAACAGACATATATTTATCCCAAACAAGAACTACAGGGAAGATACCACATCTTTAAGTGCATAGAATACATACTACTTATCTATAGTTATAAAAGGAAAAAAGGAGAAAGATAAAAGAATCCCTAGAAAAACAGAAGGAAATTTTCCTTACCGGAATGAATGCATGTTGCATAGCTTGTTCACATTGTTTCAAGGAAGCAATAGTATCCCACAAAAGCTGATAATTTTCAGCTCGGGAAGTACTTGGCCGTTGCATGGTGAAAGCTAGTAACACTCAAACTGAGCTCAAAGAACCCAGTTGAAGAAGGAAAAAAACCCCGCAGATCTGTTACATAAACTTCTTAATTAGATCTGCTACACAAACTGCTATCTTAAGACTTAAAAAAAAAGTTAATCAGAACATTTCTTTTGGGGGATAACTGGGCATGACTTGAACAGAGACAGATGTTTTCATTGGGAAGGATTTTCATTCCCACACTTGTGAAAAGCAATCCCATCAGTGTTCCCCTGTCTTTACACGGGTCTGGCGAAACTGCACATACCATAAGTGTGTGGGGGGAAAGAAGTAGGAGGGAGAGAGATGTGAAAGAATATTTCCACCAGAAGATTTGGGTGGCAGGCTAGGGAGTTAGAATTTGAGTAGCTTGTGAAAAGTAGTAAAATGAACGGAATGGGTTACATACACACATGTATGTACTTACGCAGGTGTCAACACTTGTCTGCTGTGTGAGAAATACAACTATATACATGCATTCTCACAGTGTCATTTAATATGTCTAACTCTACTCTCAGTTCACTTAAGATCTAGATGTGATATATTTTTTCATCCTGGAGTATTACTGCCTTTAGTAGTTACAAAGTTGTTTATCTGGGAGTATCTCTAAAGACTAGCCAGAAAGTTCTTGAGTATAAAATGCAGTCAATTGTTTATCTTAAAATTTAAGAGTAATTAGAAGACCTTTCTGTTGTCTTATGTTTTGGATAAAGGTCACACTTATTTCTTGTTCTAGGTAGAATTCACATGAATAATGCCAGGAGAATTAAGCCTTTAAATATTCTTGGGACCTGAGAGTGGGCTGCACAAAATTGGAACATGTTAATTCTAAAGAAATTGCTTGCACCCTTTGCACACTACCAAAAGGCTAGTATAAGCACTAAATCAAGTCTGAACAACAGAATATAGTAACATATTCTGAGTGTTCTTTCACCTAAGACAGGAGCCCACAAAGTGAGATGAGGCTCTACCAGTCCCTTGCAGTCTCCGTGGGACTGTCGAGGTAGTGGGTAATGTAGCACATAGGCTGCCCAGCACTTAGAAGTTCCAAAGGAACCTTTACTCTCAGGGCTAGTCACACAGCCAACAACGGGGATATTAATTCAAGAATTTCTAGAGGTAAGGGGTAAACTGAGGGCAACACAGCATAATGAATAAACTGTGCTTTTAATTGACCTAGAAAATGCAAAGAGGATAAAACAAAGTACAAACTGTAGACAACAGTTTGATAACATAAATGAAGGATTTTTGCTGTATTATTTTTAGAAGAGCTGCATGATTTGGGTTACCTAGTTTTTCTGCATTTGTACCTTGGTGATGGTGGATTCATTTATACTAATGACCTTGTGGTGTGAAAGTCTCAAAGGCTGATACCAGCAAAGTTTTCTTCTTATCTCAATTACTTTTCAATCTTGAATTGGTAGAATTGCAAGTAAAATTAATCTTTTAAAATTTCTACCTGGGCTAATTTACAAGGAGATGGTTTTTCTTTAATATTTCATGAGTATACACCATAAGGCTATTGCCATTAGATGGTTTGTTTTTCAATATCAGTGCAACCAACCTTCTCTGTTTCTCATTCATGGTGTTCTTCTGTTCAGCTCACACCCACAGTCCCTCCTCTGCCTTCATTCCTGTCCTTCTACTAGCCCATCTGCCCCAGCCACATGCTTCTTCCTCAAGCACTGTCGACCAGCCAGCCCACAACCTTCAGAAAATATTCCTCCACTAGTAAATGTTCTGCATTTCTCAGCAAACAACAGGAAAATAAAAAGTTGTTTTCTAAGTTGTCCTCCAAAATTCCAGCCAATCTTTTTCTGAACTCCTTGAGTAAATGTTCATCATTATCCCAGACCCCAACCCCTGGGTCTTCTATCATGCCTCGGACTTTTCTCTCCTGTTCATCGGGTCCCTTCAGTCTTTCATTTAAGTAGTATCTCCTAAAAAGAGCCTCCTTTCCTTACTCTTTGGAAAAGGATAGAGAATCCACAGTTTCTGCATGTAGAACCTCTACACAAGAAAATGCCATTGTAATCATGCATTCATTCATTTATTCATTATCCAACAAACATATCAATCATCTCCTATGTCTATACTTTTTGACTATTCTATGGGCAAATGGATATGTCAGACGTTGATTCTGTCTTTAAGGAGCTTAAAGTCTAATTGAAGGGATGATACATGGGTACAAATAATAAAAAAACAAGTTAAAAAAAGGTAAGTGCCATAAAAGAGGTAGTATATACTACTCACAAAACAAGCAAAAAGAAAAATTGCATCCATTGGGAAAATTAGGGCAGCCTCACTTGGCTAAAGCTTGAAGTTAGGGTAAAATTTGGACATGTAGAGATAGGTAGGGGACATTCCTGGGGACAGAAGGGTAGAGCAAAGGCACAGAATGGGAAAGTAGAGGTCATTACTGGTTAGTTTGGAAGGAACACAACACCAAGAAAGCTCAATATTCTGATTTATCCTGGAGCCAAGGCTATTCTTGAATGAAAACTCAGCAGCTTCCTATACCTAATGCTAAGCAATCTTAGCTTTAACCAATTCTTAGAGCACTGATGTGCAGAAATTCAATGATACTCTTCTCACACCTTATGAGGTGGCAAATTCCATATATTTATTCCTCATTCTTTAAAATAGGTACATTGATATACTTGTGGAAGTTTTAAGTGTCTCAATCATTTCAGTCATATTACTTAGTTAATTACTTAGTTTTTATTAAGTATATGTAACATATTTTGCCCTCACACCCAGTCACTTTTATAAGTTTTAAAATCTATTACCTTCGACATTCAAGTGAGATCCACCATGAATCTTACGTTATCAAATATTTTACGTAGTTCAGTTTAACAAATATTTATCGAGCTCTACTATGTGCTAAGTACTATGCTAGGAACAAGGAATATAAAGATAGGCATTAAATAATTTCAGTCTTCTGTTTCTTTTCAACTACCACTCAGGGTGCATTTGCCCCTGCTCACAAAATAGAGTGTACATATTTTCTTCCTTTTGGCACAATGCCTGATATGTAACGCCTACCACTTTTCTGTTAAACACTTAGTCACTAGGCCACATGTCAATCATATCTAAATATATCAAGATGCTCTAAACTAGATTACAGACCTCAGAATGTCTATCAGTACTTTTCATACGGTGGTATTGCCATGCATAGACAGGTCTGCATTTGAACGCTTTTTACTGGTGATTAGTTTAAATATGACTTCATGACAATTGTACTTCTAGTAAAAATGGAGTAACAGGGCTTGAATTTATACTTCTACCTGAAATAACCAAAAAACTGAACAAAATATATGAAACAATGAATTTCAGGAATGGATATCAGACAACAAAGAAGAGTGAACTCTAAGAGGAAGGAAACAAACAAGTCAGTCCTATGACTGCTCCATCTACAACCTTGAATGTCCAGACCACATTGCAGAGAGGGGGGATCCAAGTGGAACCCAGTGGACTTGCTGAGTTAAGGGGATAGAGTTGATCTTCTAGAGATACCAAATGAACATGAAGAAATAGAGAAATCTATAATTATAGTTGGATTTTTAAATACCCTTCTTTGAATAATTAATAGAATAAGCAGGCAGAAAATCTGTAAGGATTTCGAAAATCTTTATAAAAACATTTCATTAATTTGAGCTAATGTACCTTTATAAAATATTCCACCCAACAACAGAAAAACACACACATTCTTTTCAAGTGTTCATGAAACATTTGCCAAGCTAGAACATATTCTAAGCCATCAGTCAAATTTCAATAGTTTAAAAAGATTCAGGTCAAATAAAGTATATTCTCTGACCACAGTGAAATCAAGTTAGAAATCAATAATAGAACAATCTCTGGAAATTCCCAAAATATTTGGAAATTAAATAATGTACTTCGAAATAACGCATTGGTTAAAGAAGAAATCAAAATAAAATTAGATTGTATTTTGAACTGAATGAAAATAAAACCACAACATATTAAAATTTGTTGGACGCCCTTACAGCTATAGTTAAGGGAACATATATAGTACAAGACACCTATATTTGAAAAGAAGAGAGGTCTCAAATTAATGATCTCAGCTTGCACCTTACACAATTAGAAAAACTATAGCAAATTAAAACCAAAGAATGCTGAAGAAAGGAAATTAAAAAGATTAGAAGAGCTAATTAACAGCTAGTTCTTTGACAATATCAACAAAACTGATAACCCTCTAGCAAGACTAATGAGAAAAAACGAGAGAAGAAATAAATTATCAAAGTCAGGAATGAGAGAGGTAGCATCAGCACAGAGCCTACAATCACGAAGTGCTAATAAGTAAATCTTTAAAAGACTGTAGCCAATACTTTTGACATCTTAGATGGAATCGACAAATTCTTTGAAAGATATAAACTAACAAAGCTCACTCAAGAAAAATAAGTAACCTAAACAGCCATATCACATATCTATTAAAGATATTGAATTTGTAATTAAAAACCTATCACCAAGAGACTCCAGGTCCAGGTAGCCTCCCTGATGAATTCTACCAAACATTTAAGAAGAAATAACAATAATTCTACACAAATGCTTCCAAAGAACTGAAGAGAACAGAATATTTCCCAATTTGCTTTTTGAGGCCAGCATTACCCTGGTATCAAACCAGATGAAGATATTACAAGAAAAGCAAATATTTATATGCTGTCGTGAACATATATGCAAAAATTCTAAACAAAATTTTAGCAAACTGAATCCAACAATATATTAAAGGATAATGCATCATGACTGAGAAGGTTTAATCTTTGAAAACAACTCAAAGTAATTCATTATATTAAAATGTTTTTAAAGAAAAAACACAACCAACCAACCATGTGATCATCTCAATAGGCACAGAAATAATATTTTACAAATAATTTACAAATATTCATTCCTGGTTTAAAAAAAATACTCTCAGGACAAGATAAGGATGTCCCTCCTTACCACTTCTATTCAGCATCATTTGGGAGGTTCTAGAAAGTGCAACAAGTCAAGAAAAAAAAATATTGGAAAGGAAGAAATAAAAGTGTCTTTCTTTATATTTGATATAACTGTAGAAAATCTCATAAAATCTAAGGCAAATTTTAGAATTTATAAATGAGTTTAATAAGGTTGCAGGATACAAGATCAGTATACAAAGATCAATTGTATTTCTTTATACTAGCAATAAATAAATGGAAATTAAAATAAAAAATAATAATACTTACAATAAGATAAAAAATATACTTAGGGATAAACTTTATAAAACACGTGCAAGCCATGTATATTGAAAACCACAAAGTTTTCCAGAGAGAAATTAAAGACCTCAATATTGTTAAGATGTCATGCTCCAAAAATTGGTTTATAGATTCAATGAAATGCAATCCAAATAAAAACCAAGCAAGATTATTTGTTTGTTTGCTTATTTGTTTGTTTTGGAGAAACCGACAAGCTAATTCTAAAATCATATGAAAATTCAAAGAATATAAAATTCCCCAAACAACTTTGAAAAGGAAAAATAAAATTAGAGAAAAAATATTACATGTTCTCTAGACTTATTATGAAGCTAAGGTAATCAAAACAGTGTGGCACTGGCATGAAGATAGATAAATAGATCCGCAGAACAGAATAGAGACTCCAGGAATCAACTCACATGTCTATAGACAACTGACTTCAACAAAGGTAAAAAGACAATTCAGTGGAGAAAAGGTAATCTTTTTAACAAATGATGTTGGACCAATTGGGTATCCATATGCAAAATAATAAGCTTTAATATACACCTCTCACTACCTATAAACTCAAAATAGATTATAGACCTAAATGCATAACCTAAATAAAACTTCTAAAAGAAAACATAGAAAATCTTTGTGATGTTAGGTTATTTACAACACCAAAAGCACAACTGTAGAAGAACAGATTGATAACTGGACATTGCCAAAACTGAAAATTTCCGTGCCTTGAAAAACACTGGTAAAAGAATGAAAAGACAAGCCACAGGATGGAAGCAAAACTTACAAACCACATACATAATAAAGGATTTGTTTCTAAAATATATAAACAACTCTCAGAACTCAATAATAAGAAAATAAACAATCCAACTAAAAATGAGCAAAACATTTTAACAAACACTTCACCAATGAAGAATACATGTATTAAATAAGCATGTGAAAAGATAATCAACATCATGATTTATTAGAGAAATGAAAATTAAAATACCACCACACACCGAGCGGAACAGCTAATATTAAAAAAGACTAATCATACCAAGGGTTGGTGAAGATGTTAAAGATTAGACCTCTCATACACAGCTGGTGGGAATATAAATGGTATAATCCCTTTGGAAACAGTTCAGTGGTTTTTTAAAAAATTAAACACGAACTCACCATGATTTAACCATTCCACTCCTCGGTATTTATCCAAGAGAAATGAAAGCATATATCTATTCAAAGACTTGTATGAAAATATTTACAGCAGTTTTATTTGTGAAAGTGAAAAACTAGAAACAACATCACAGGCAAGTGGACAAACAAAATTGTGATATATCAATATAATGGAATACTGTTCAGCAATAAAAAGGAATGAACTATCGATACACACAACACATGGATGGATCTAAAAATAATCACACTGAATGAAAGAAGACAGGCAGAAAAGTACATACTGTATGATCTCATTTATATAAAATTCTAGAAAATGCAAACTAATCTATAGTGACAGAGCAGAAACTGGGAATGGGGAGGTAAGGTGGCCGGGGGAGAGAGTTAGTTGGATGGATTACAAAGGGGCATGAAGAAACTTTTGAAGGTGAGGGATAAGTTCATTATTTTGGATGGATGGTTTTATATGTCCAAAGTTATCAAACTGTACATCTTAAATATGTGCAGTTCCTTGAATATCAATTAAACCTCATTCAAGCTATTTTTAAAAATTTCTTGAAAAGTTCCCAGAAAAACCATCAGAATGTCTCACTCTCCTGGGTGTTATGCAAAGTGACAAGCTGCTATCATTTAATTTTATAATCTTGTAGCTCAGTCCATCGCTTCTAGGTGGGGAGGGGGTTAGAAAGCAATGACCTTCTGGCAGGAAGGGAAGTAAAGGATATAAATAAGTTTAACCAGAGAAAAGGGCTGAGGTTTCATATCCAGGGGCCTTACTCTTAGTTACGATTCTTGCCCTAATTAGCTGTAACATCTTGGTTCAGTCATTTTGCTTTGACAAATTTCCATTACTCATCTATAAATTGAAGAAGTTACACTCAATCATTTCTCAAATGTCTTTCAGAGCTATAATCCAGTGATCTATGGATATAATTTAATCCTCAACAATCCCATTTTCTTCTCCACTAAGCACTTACAGGCATGGGCTTAAATTTAGCGAAAACATTCCATTAGTTTTGAACTGTGCATTATCATACATGCTGGTAATCTCCCTCTAGTAAGACAGTAAACTCTCTTAAGGGTAGAGTCTTTCATCTTAAAATTTCTTGTTTCTTCATGGTATTTAAATTTCAAAGCCTACATATTGTAATAATGACAACATAATTGGTATTAAAATTATAAGGATAGAAGTCTACCATTTTACTTCTTAAAAAACTGTTTTTTTATGCAGTACCCCGCTTAACCCCACGAAGGTATTATTCCCAATTTACAGATAGAGAAGTAGGTCCACAGAGGCTAATGTAACTTGCTTCACCACTTACTAGACACGTGACCTTGGACAAGTCCCTTAGTTTCTTTTTGCTTCAGTTGCTTATCTGTAAAATGGAGATTATAACAGTACTTACAGGATTGTTGAGGATTAAATAAACTAATACTTGTAGAAATCTAGAGCAGAGCCCTGGCACACAGTTAGCACTATTATTCGTGTTTATGAAATTAATTTCATTTTAATTTATTAATTCATTTAATAAGTGAGAATTAAATAAGTGAATAATAAGTAAGTGACATCGAAGACAAATTCATACATTCATACCAAATGTATGACCAGTGATCAGTAAATATACAGGTAATTGTAGATTCACCTTCCCTGACCACCACTACAGCCCAGTCTAAGTATGATCCTCCTCGTGTTCTTTCTCTCTCAACCCTATTTGTTTTCTTCACAGTTCCCATCTTAATTTGAAATTTATTTATTTATTTACTTTTTATTTCTAGTCTCCCCAACTAAACTGCAGGATGAGAGACAAGAAGCCAATGCACAGCCATTGCCAGCATAGTGCCTAGAATAGCATAGACTCTTTCAGCGTTCTCTTGATATTATTGTTATCAATGGGGCCTCAAATAGATAAAAGCTTATTAACATTTCAAAAACATATGTTAGTATATTTATCAAGATCTTCTGTATTTTCAAAGATCTATGGTGAATTTGGCCATGGCTCTTATTATCAAAAACTCACATCTGACCCATTTTCTCCTATTTAAGAGAGTGACACTTCTTTTTTGATGGGGCAAGACTCACACGACTGTACCAGGGTAAAAGGGCAAATGAACTTTTACTGTATGCACAGTGTTTCAAAGCATATGATGTGACCCATGGGAATATAAACCTTCATATAATAAAGAATCATGCTATATATTCAATCAATCAGTCAGTCATACTTCAAACATGCTTAAGAGATGCAAGTCATTCTAGTAGAGTGCTGTTCCATACACTCTGCAGAATCTTTGGAGCATAAGGCCAGTACTTTAAGGAAAAGAAAGCAGGTGGTCCTGGAGAAGCAGACTGAAGGAGGCAGGACACAGGGCCTCCTCTGAACATAGTTCTACCAGACAATAGATCACAGCATCTTAAACTTCAGGCCAGAGTTAAAGCTGGGGCT